ATCGACAAAGAGACCGCATGATAGACAATGCGATATATAAACCTCTGTACATGTATACATTTTACACTTGAAACAATCTATTTGTACTATAAACATGGCTACTTTTTCTACAACTTCTAAATCAAAAAATTCATGATGGATTTTCTTATATTCGTGACAAAACGCATAGTACCAAAATTTATTGGAAATGTGAAGAATCTCGCGATTCAAATATTAAATGTGAAGCTCGTGTGTATACAGATTTACTTAATACCGTTATTTTTGTCAACAATAAATCACATTTACATTCTGCAAATGCTATTAAGCTTGAAGTTCGCAAAGGTTATGAAGATCTTCGTTATCGTGCAATAAATAGCAACGAACCACCAGCCAATATCGTTGCAAATTCATTCGGTGCACTTTCCACTCTTGCACAAGCGCAATTACCCTCAAAACATAATCTAAAACGTTTAGTTAAGCACCATCGTGCTGATAATGATTATCTACCAATACCGAACGACTTCCACGATACCGCTCTCATTGTGTGTCACAACCAAGAACGATATCTTTTTAGTTCATGATTCTGGTTCATCCAATAACAATAATCGTTTTCTAATTTTCGCTAGCCCTGAGCAATTGAAAACTCTTGAAACTTCGTCAGAATTTTTTATGGATGGTACATTTAACGTCGTGCCACGTATTCTTTTCCAGTTATTCTCGCTGCACGCTTTACATCGTAATCATGTGATACCAGTCATCTTCGCTCTACTATCAACTAAAAATGAACAAACATACTATGAGTTGTTTAATCGGATAAAAATTATCGTACCAAATTGGAATCCTCTTACTATAATGTCCGACTTCGAAAAAGCATCAATTAATGCAATAACAAAATTATTTCCTACCTGTGTGCCATCTGGCTGTTTTTTTCATTTACGTCAAAGTCTTTATCGACAAGTTAAGGTAAGTTCAATAGTTTGAGCGACTCTCCATATCAAGCAAAATTTTTTATGAATCAAACTGGTGAAAAAAATGAGTGGGGGGACCCCCGCCCCCTTAACTGAACTGTCAGTTACATTGATTCAATGCACGTTTAGTCTACGTTCTGTTTCTTTCATTATAGACACTTGGATGGAAGAATCGATACGATGCAGATCCATTATTTGCTTACAATTGCACTCGTGTAGCTGCATTAGCTTTTTTACCACTACAAGATGTCATAGTAGGATTTGTTTTTTTGTCTGAAGACTTAACATTAGATTTACAAGATTTTTTGAATTATTTCGAAGACACGTATATCGGACACTTGCGTGCAAGCAGTGTTAGAGCAAATCCGAAATTTGCTGTTGAATTATGGAATATGCACAGTCGTACAGATCAAGCAATGCTTCGAAGCAATAATCATGTTGAAGGGTGGCACAATAAATTACACAAATCGTTTCAATGTGAACATCCTACATTGTGGACATTGCAAATAATATTGATACTTTCTGTTTGGAAAATTCGAGGAAGTTTCCGTTCGAGGAAATTACTTTCGAGGAGACTACATTCGAGGAAATTATTTTCGAGAATATCGTTTTCGAGGAAATTTCATTCGAGCAAATTTCCGAAACCCCCAAACTGATATCACTTTTCAAAATTGACAGAATATGTCATTTCCAAACTGAGATCAGCTTTATTTCTTTAACTATAAAAAGTGATCTCAATTAAGAATGAGCCGAATTTGTTTGTTAACACGGGAACTAACTATATTTAAATTGATTTGCTGTTTTTACAGAAGTAGAATAAATCAAATTTAATGCGCATAGAAAAATGAACTCATCATCAAATATGGTCGTAACCTATAAGTAAATTTTCTTTTGCTAATCAACAGATTTCAAGTAAAATAGATCTGTTAGGAAAATGAAAAGTAACGTAAGTACGCTTGAAATTCTTTCTATATGTCAATTACCTTAATGATAGTATTTCATTCTAACAAAGGACAATGATAATTACTACTATATCAGTAGGAATTCTTTCTCTATAGTTTTTTCAATCAAAGTTTATCATGACATAGTCCTCAGATCATTTATAATTTTTTCTATTGGCTCACTTATATTGTTAAATAACTGTTGTTCTTTTTGGAATATGAATTTTGTGTATAGAAATATCTGTTTGTACCCTTACTCGCGACGTTAAAAACACAACTATCTCCTTAATGGATGAACTAAGGAATGCGGTCAACATGATCTGTGATAATAATCTGTACAGAAAATGGCATAGGCATGAAAAGTAGGACAAAAATGTCTTTTTCATACATAATATCCGTTTTCCACTCATTTTTACAAAATTAAAATTTGTTTTTCTCTACTAATATGAACTGATGAAGATGAAAAAGCATGCTACTAGATGTCACATTCAATACTCTATTCAACCATATATAAATTATTGTATTTGAGCAATGGATCAAAACTGAGGTAAAAACCAATGGGAAACGAGTCTCAAACACTGTGCTTGTCGTAAACGCGTGTAAAATCACAAAAACCCATAGTAAAGAGGTCGCCGATGTCTCATGTTTAGAGGCCTGTGCGAGCAAGCTCTTTTCGTCTCGGTCTCGTGAAGAAAAAAAATGTTGGTTCCGGTCCCGTAACTTTTTTTTCAAAGTAGCGCTGATAGTCTGAAAGTTCGGGCGTTGTAATATGGCTCACGGAACAGCATGCGTGGGTGGTATTGATAAAGACTTTTAGAATTTTCTATGAGCACGTTCTCGCAGAACTGGGGTCTACATACAAATGCGCACAGAAATTAAGAAATTTTATGCTCCATACTAGACTATTTTCAAAAAAATCCGGTCCCGATCGTATTCACACGAGGTTGGGACATCACGCCCGACCGGGATCGTCCCGCGGATCTCTAGGTCTCGATCCCGTAAAAAGTCTCGTGGGATCGGGACAGTCCCGGAGACCTCTACTCATGCTGTAGAAAAGTGTTTGTTCTACATCTGTGATGACTTAAAAATGTTTGTATGTCCAGATCTTTGAGATTTGTACCAGTTAGAAAATGATGAAACCTATGCCTATCTTCAATATTTAATTTAAAAGTACATCATGCTAGTGTTTTAAAATGTTCTATTATATATGAATCGATGCAGAATTGCCTGCTTTAAAAGATGTAAGATTTATTTTGGTACCACCATATATAGCCTATATTTAAAAAGTACGGAGAAAAATGCAAGTTGAAAATATGGAATTTGTTAGTAGAAGTGGCTGTTTAACAAAATCTGAAAGCTTCCCATTTCAAGAGAAATAATCTATTTTGAATTCTGATAGGCTTATTCGTACCTCTAGACCGTCTTCTTTAAAACTACACAAGTTCCAAATTCTTAC